CTCCATGTAGCAGGGCGGAACCTCCCCCCATGTAAGTCGTTTTACGCTCAACACACCTAATGACTCCACTCCTTGTTTTGACAAAGCTATGATAATATAAACATAACCAGAAAAAATGATATAGGGATTTTTTTTTTTCTTTCAACACTGTTCCTTTAAGTGTTTTCCTATCTCCTCCACTGTCCTCATGGGAGGTTCAGCGGCTGTGCACATCAACCAGTGGAACCAGGTGTCCCCCCCTTCCCTTGAGCCAGACCGTGTGGTTGGTCCTCTCTGTCACCTGGTATGGTCCTGTCCACCTTGGCTCAGACCACTTTCGTTTGATGGCCTTCAGCAGCACCCACTCAATGTCTTTTGGGGCTGGTGATTTCTCTGCTCCCCCTTGGATCTCATTCACCTGTTTTGAGAAGGCTGAAACCAATGCCGTTAGTTGATCATAGTATGGTTTGTACTTCAAAAATGGAGCTATTGGGGCTGTCAAATGGTGTAAACCCTGTCCTAGAGCTCACCGAATTTCTGACTGACATTAAAGCTAGTGGGAGAGCATCAACCCAACTCAGCTTGTCGTGTGCACATATTTTACCAATCTTTCCTTTCAATGTTTGATTCATCCTTTCCACCTTGCCTTGAGATTGGGGATGATAGACTGTGCCAAATGCGTGTTTTAACCCTAGGCTAGCCTCCACTGCCTGTAGGTGTTTGTTTTTGAAGTGTGTGCCATTATCAGATCTGATTCATCTAGGAAACCCATGTGTGGGAATGTATTGGTTTATCAGGAATTTGACTACTGTCTGTGCATCTTCCTTTTTTGCAGGTAGTGCCTCTGGCCAGCCAGTGTATGCATCCACGGCTACCAGGAGGTATCTGTACCCTCTGACCCTGTCATTCATGTCTGTGTAGTCAATAATGATCTCTTGCCCCGGCCGGGACGGTAGAGGGAATTTTCCCTGGTGTGGTTTTACTGTAGATCTAATATTGTACACATTACACATACTGCATTCCTTGATATGATTCTCTATCATTGCTGGTAAAAAGGGATGCCACCAATGAGTTAACTGATGTTTCATTTGTTTACTGCCACAATGAGTTGGCCCGTGAGCTTCCTGGAGCACCACTGATGTCAGTCCTGGAGGGAGAACTGGTCTCCCCTCTGGTCCCCTCCACAACCCATCGGCCTTGACTGCTCCCCCTGCTTACCCAAACACTGTGATCATATGGGGAGGCTTTTTCCTGTTCTTTTCTCAACATGTCTTTGTCACAGGGAGGCAATATGTCATATACTGTCTGTCCTGCTTGTATCATCATGTACTGTGTACCATAGCCGGCTTTCTGTTTAGCTGTTTGGTCTGCTGCATCATTTCCTCTAGCTGTCAGAGAGTCCGTCTTGTCATGTCCTTTACACTTGATTACTGCCACGTGTCTGGGCTTCATCAGTGTTGCTGCAAGTCTCTGTATGTCTTTCTCATGCTTGATGGGAGTTTTAGAAGTGGTGCGAAAACCTGATCTGATCCACTGGCTTTGGCCTACCTGTATGGCTCCTACCACATATGCAGAGTCTGTGTATAAGTTTACACTTTTTCCTTCAGCTCCCTCTAGTGCTGCTATCATCGCTTGTAGTTCTGCTAACTGAGCTGATACTTTTCCTGTTACTGTTTCTGCTTTTACTGTCTCGAACCCCCTTTCTGTCTGTCTCACCACTGCCCAAGCTGCTTTTAACCCTTCTGTTGGATGTCTGAAGCAGCATCCATCTGTGAACAGTGTCTCCTCTGCATCTCCTATCGGCTGACTCTGCAAATCTATTCTTACCCTCAGGTCTTTCTGTACTCTTTCTTCACACAAATGAGGCTCCCCCTCCCCATGCTGTCTGCCATGTTTATGCCTTCATGTGTGAATGTTATGTGGGGTGCGGTTAAAGTTTTTTCCAGTCTCGTCTGTCGTAGTGATGTCATGGTGAATGCCTGTGAGTTTACATACGCTACCACACTATGTGTTGTGGGTGCTGTCATTGCATGTCCCATTACAATGTGTGCAGTTTTGTTCAAAGTTTTTGCTACCCCTGCTGCATATCTCATGCATGGTGGGTGTCTGTTCTCTGTTGCATCTAGTGTGACGCTTGCATAGGTCAGAACTTGTCTTCCACCCCCCTTTTTCTGCAAAAGCACCCCATTGACAGAGTTTGGGTTTTTCAGAAACATCCAACCAACTCATCATTCAGTTCTACTACAGCCGCTATCCCTTCTGGTCCTGCAAACAAACACTTGGTCTCCACCTGAGCCCCCCGCACCCTCCACGGCCATAAATGCCTTATGATACACCCAAGTTTCATCCCGATCATAAAACAATGTGACATGGAGAGGATCAGGGGGGAGGGGCATAGGGATTCAGCATATGCAACCACGGCTTCCAGTCTGTGTACAATGAATTTACACCACACCCTTTCGACGTATCTGGCAGCACGCACCAACCCCCAGTAAATATCCGCCCACTGCCCTATAGCGCCCGGTGTGTTGTCTTGTGCTAAAAGCATCTGTGAATGAGACCGCACCTGGCTCACCGATGTCAGAGGTTCCTGGGCCTCGTCATTGTTCTTGGTGGTAATGGGGACCCTCTTCCCAATCAGGGATTGGATACAAGTCATGGTCGTTGCGGGCGCCTAGGGAGGGGTATTGTCCTCTAGGGGCTGCGGCAGTATTTGGAGCTTGGTGATGTACGTCACGTGGTGGTGGGCCATATCCCTGCTGTGGTGGACCATACCCTGGTTGTTGTGGGTAGTCATTTTGGGGTGGTGTATCTATTCGGCAGTGTCTTGCCCAGTGACCTGGTCGACCACAGATCCAGCATGGACCACCTGCTGGGACTCTGCTGTAGGCTGCTGTAACATTTGAGTGTTTGATTTTGTTATTTTCTTAGCTTCAGTTAGCTTACGGCGCTCATTCTCTAGTTGTTTGGGTTAGGGTTATACATAAATCCCAGCCATTTGTTAGCTGGCTGAATTTATCCATCCATTTGTTTCTTCCCCCTCTCCATATGTGATCTCCTCATCGGTTTCACACCCACCCTTGCCACTCTCTGCTATTCTCCTGTCTATCTTTGCCTGGAATGGTCCCGCTTGGCTCCCTGTCTGATTTTTTTTCCCCCCTTCACGCTGCTTTTGCTCCCTGTGCTGCTCTGCGTAAGTCCCCACAGTACTTCTCCTATCTTCCTCTCTCTCACTCCCCCCTTCTGGTGTTCCAGCTTCTCTGTAGGGAATGTATCCTCTATAACTGACACTGGGCATCTTATTTCTTCCTCTCCTGCTGTTGCTCCCAGTATGCTTTAACTTCATCCAGGTCCTTTGTCTGCCCCTTTATTATCTCCCGTAACTCTTCAAATTGCTTTACTGTCCCTTCAAAGATGTTCCCCTCTAAATCCAATTGGCCTGAATTAACTGTGATTACCGGAGCCCGTATTGCTCCTGGACGGGTGTCTGTGTACGGCGGAGAGGCCGTGGCATAAGGAGGGTTGTCGAGGTATGGGTATAAGGGCCATGGTCCCGGCTCCATAGGTGGAGCAGTCTTGGTCACAGTCGTGGTCACAGTCTTTGTCCATGCTCCTATTGCTGCGCAGGCTAATGATATTGCGTGTGCTGAAGCTCTCTTTCTGTCTAACTCCTCTGAAGTCTTCTTCCACTTTATCTTGGCCGGCCAGCCCTGTTGTACTCTAGTGTCATGCTTTTCTAGCTTGTCTACTACAGTCTTCTCTGTGGCAGCTAAATATGGCAACAATTTCACCCTCTTCATGTTACCAGGTACATGTCCCTGCTCCTGTAGCCAAGTCCATGTATCATCATGTACTTTCATCATTTTATCTTGTTCATCTTAAGGAAATCCACTAGTCATTTGCCCCATGACTACTTCCCACTGCTCACCCACTGTGCTTACTGAAGTCTCCCCATTCTCCCCACAATCTTTATTAAATTCCTTTTCCATTTTTAAAAACAACCTGTAAAACATGGTACAACACACTGATTGTAAAAACTTTAAAACACATACAGGGTTGGTGTGAATGACTCAGAGGTCAGTATTGTACAACTAATGCCCAGTGAGACAAGCTTCTAGGCTGAAATAATCTTTTCAGTCCGGTCTCACTCGAGGGGTCCTCTCCCAGGCTTTGTACACACTTTTTGACACACTTCTCCCGTATCAAACCACCCGTTTTCCCCACAGAACAGGCGTTAGACGAGATTCATGAGAATCTCACGAAAAAGTCTTAACTCCTGGACCCACCCACACAATCCCAATGATTCAGCCTTTTTAACAGTTTCACATTTAGAAACGCTCAACTGTCATGCTCAAATGTTTGCACAAGCAATATATCGTATGAACTCAGGCTATTTGTACCGCCGGCGCTAATTTTTCGCTAGTACAAATTGTTTTAGTGCTGACTCTAACGTTCACGGGGATTGAAACCCTTGGGCTAGTCCGAGTTTTCCTTTTTATCCCTCTCGGAGTTCCCTCTTCTGGTACTTACAGGAACCAGCGACCTGGGGCGTCCTCTAGACCCCTTTTTACCCACCACCCATATAATGCGGCAGTTCGGGTTTTAAACCGCTGGTGCTTTGTGGAGGCCTTTCACCCCTCACGGGACTCCAACCCTCGGGCTAACCTGCTTGTGCGCTTTCACAGCAGGTTCCCTATTGGCGACCTCCTTAAGGGAGCGTGCCCTATGTTGCACACAATACTGGTTTACATTATGCCTAGGACGAGTATCACAAGTGACTTCAATAGAGTTTTGACAATGCCCAATCGCAGAATTTTGTTATAACAGGCTTCTGCTTACCTTTATTTTATGCGGATCCGCGAAGTTTTGCTGTCACTCAATCCTCTCGTCCGTCGTGAAGAAAAACTTGGTTGTCTCACTTCTCCGTCTTCATCACGTCGGGGTCACCAAATTGTTGAGGAATCTCTTTATTTCAAAAACTCATTCCTCGCGTGTTCTTTTAATGAAGCGATAGGAGAAGATTTAGTTTACTCAATAATCAGCTTTATTCTTAACACCAGTAGAATGTGCAAAGTTTACATAGCTCTGGGTTCAACTACGGTTAACCTGACATGCACAAGGTCTGCCAGTTCACAAAGTCTGAGCAACCTCTTGTTCCTAACATCAGTTCTTATATTTTTGCAGATAACACACATAGCACAAGATGGTATAATCTCCACCCCTTGTCCTCTTGGTATCTTGTCTCCAAGGATGGTGTTGATGGGGTAGCCAAAACCTGAGTTGTTTTTCACGACTGGAAGGAGTCCGTCCTGTGTTCTATCATTGTTTTTACGAGCTCATGACACTGACCTCGGAGGCCGTGTTTACCGCTATCTCTCCCAAAGAATGTCATGTTATATCTGCAACTACCCACACTCTTCTCCCTTATACTGTGCCTGCTATTCATATTCATTAGTAAGTTACAATTCTATAACACATCATACAAACATCTAATATTCATTACTTTATTTCTGTTATTAGTATTCCCTTAACAGCCCTTTATCAATGTAAGTGTGGCGGGGGTTGCGAACAAAAATGAATGTTCTCTCAATGGGAATCTTAGGTTGCACGACAACGCCACCTTGGGAATTGCACCCAAGGAATTATTTTACACTGACCAAAAACACAGGTTCGTTCCACTCGACAGGCAAGACACGTGGTTCCCAGTTTACAAAAATACTTTATTTAATAAATATATATATCATTATAAAAAATAGCATTCATCCCAATAAATGAAAAAGGGAGCCTAATCAGGGGCTGAGGCCTACTGGTGGGGAAAGAGCAGGTGAAGGGGAAGGGGACTCAACAAAATTAAATTAAAGAAAAAGGGTTCACCCAGACACACGTGGCAGTCACACACTGTGGTATCACCAAATCCAAGGAAGCACAGCACACAAGAAGGAGGGACACCACCACCCACGTCACCAACACCACCACCAGCCTGCAGCCACTGAGAAGGGAAAACAAAAGTTACAATGGAAGTATTTAACACAAAATATAAATATAATAAAAATATACAACATAAAGCAGGAAATAGTTAACCAATTAAGCTTACCAAGCTAGTTAATCAAAACAATAAACAAAACAAGTAATACAAAAATAAGGGATTAACTCCTCACCATCGTTCAGCTAAAATAAAAAGAGATAAACAGATTAAAAGTATGGTGTCTGCAGTTCACCATGCAAGCCGGCTGTAGCCAGAAGCCACCAAGCAGCCAGAGCCGCAGAACACGGCAGCAAGGAATAAGTGACTGCAGAGGCAAAGCAGGGGACAATGTCACATACAGCAGCAGAGACACAGCTATGCAGCTAGCAGTAGGGGCACAACAGCAGACATATAGTCGACAAAGCGGTATAAACACAGCAACCGTGTGTTTAACGGCAGAGGCAAAGCGGTGCGGACAAAGCAATGTAAATAAATCAGTGTAGACAAAGCATAGACAAAACACCGACAAAGCAGCGACAAGGCAGAGACAAAGCAGAGACAAAACAGCAGCGGTCCCAATCAGCTGGTGGTGAAGGCACGTGAATCGCCACCTGTAGATTTCGGCCAGCTGACGAGCATTCCCTGTCAATAAACATACCATTAGCATAGCTAAACTACATTAATCAAAGCTTTTGAGAGTTAGATTTAAGGTAGCATACCTGTTTTCAAAGTCAAACCTGCACAGGGAGAGGGAGGGAGAGAGAGACCCACACGGCAGCGGACATCTACCTGTGACCACACTAGCGTTAGCTACAGGATAGCATTCGGTGTAACACAGAGAGAGAGGACACTTACCACCGCCAGAGAGAACCAAGGTCTAAACGGAGCATGGAGCACAAAGCACGGGGCACTCGGTCGCTGCTCTGCAGTGAAAACACGCAGGCTTTAAGCAACAGGACACAGTAAAAGATGAAACAGAGCAGTAGCCGCAGCAGCGGCATGGAGCATTACCTGCACAGGCAAACACCTGACCCGGAAATGATGCGTTAGTGAGCGTGCGAGAAGGAGGGCCGTACTTATATACTGCCGCCCCAATGGTCAGCAGGTGCAATTAACTGCCGCATGACAGCCCTATGTCTATGCTGCTACATAAGCATAATCAATGTAAGCACAAGTAAACATATTTCTATTCTAGTTAATAATCATACAGGTAAATTAGTATAGTATTCTGTGAGTATAAATCACAGAATATCGCAACAACAGTTTGGGACATAATCAAGAATAGCAATGTCTCCAAAGCAGCAAATCCAGTAGCTTCTAATGTACACCATACTTTTAGCTGATTGACTGAGGATCTTAATGTCACTATGTGTAAAATATTGTTTTATTATTTGGATGGCTTACATTTTTGCTTGTAGAAAAATATGTCTTCAGATTTGGTGCATTCAGTGTGACTTTCAGTGTCAAGGGGTGTATGTGCTTTTTCCACCATGAAAGGAAAAGAACAGTTCTGTAACCCTGTAAACAGAAAATGTTGCTGTACTCAGGTTGGCTAATGTGAGTACACCTGCTGTCACTAACATTTTCTATTGCAGATAAAAAAAAAATCTCTATGTATATTCTGTTGAAACAGAGCCAAAGCTTTTCTCCAACTTGAACCAAAGTTTTGGTTGTTGAAACGTAACCCCACACTAGGCTGCCTTAACTTGTCTTTACTAATAACGTGTATAACTTAAAATTAGGGCTGTCAATCGATTAAAAAATGTAATCTAATTAATTACATACTCTGTGATTAATTAATCTAAATTAATCGCATAGGTATATAATTTTTGCTGTGAAAGTATTTGAAATATTTCAAATCAAATGAATCAATGAATAATCAGCATTAGTGACATTAAAGTTCAAAAACTATTTTATTGTTATTTTCACTGTTTAAATAATGGCCATAACAATCTACAATATAACCTAATATGCTGAGGAAATAAATTCAAAAGTGCTTCAGGAAGAAGTTTTTTTTCACATACAAGGCATTTCAGGCCACAATTATAACCTAGGGGACACAATGAAAATAAATTAACACTCCCCTCAATGTCAACACTGTTTCTCCTGTATGTGCCATAAATAAACTCAGGCAACAGAGACCAAAAGTTTAACATGAACATAAACCTTCAATAAAAAATGAGCCCCTTTTACCTCATTTCACACCAAAAAAAAAAATCAACAAAGCAACAATTTCTCATTTTCAAGTTGTAGTCAGACACATCTGCCTCACTTCTACTTCTCCTTCAGCCAGTCACTGAGACAAACTAGCTTCTCTACATTCTCAGAGCTCAAGGCTGCCCTCTTTTTTGGACTATGTTACCTGCAAGTGAAAAAAGTCTCTCACAAGGGACAGAACTGGCAGGGGCAGCCAGATATTTGCGATCCAGGACAGACAGCTGTTGATGGGCTCCTGCATGAGTTGTCCACCACTGCAGCAGGCATTCCTCTATGCTAATGCTGGGCTCTGCTTTGTAGTGGTTCAAAGCCCTGCTTGGTTCCACCATGTCATCGCCTGAGTCTGTGTCTGAAGCAAAGACTAGGAGGCTTCTCTTTTTCTGTGGCTCCTCTGCAGGCTCTGGGGTAGCCATACTATGTTTATTTTGCAGCAGTACCTGAAGGCTGGTCCACACCTCTTCTCTGTCTCCTTTTTGAAGATACTTCAAGTCCTTGAAGCGTGGGTCCAGTGCTGAAGCTTATTGAGCCATCCATTGTTGAGGTTTGCTTGCCGTTCAGACAGGTCCTTTTTAAAGGCAGTCTTGAATTTTCCAATGTAGGCTGGGTCCTCCTCCAAAACTTCCATTGTGCGGTACAGGTGGCAGAGAGCAGGCAACACCACAGAGCAAGAAACATAAGTCTGACCTCCAAGGATCTCAGTCACATATCTGCAGTGGATGATAAGATATGCACACAGTACATTTATTATATCAGTGTCATAGTAGTAGCCTAGCCTAATTCAACAATTTGCAAAATAAAGTACAGTAAATTTCTTCACAATAAATAAAAAAAGACTTTTGTTTGTGTGTGTGTGTGTGTGTGTGTGTGTGTGTGTGTGTGTGTGTGTGTGTGTGTGTGTGTGTGTGTGTGTGTGTGTGTGTGTATGTGTAAGCTTTTACATGCATGGTTCAAGGATGGTTTCCAGCCTCTGAAGTTTGTCTCACTCAGATGTAGTCAACATAGTCAGCTTGTGCTTCTGTCTGCTCAGTGCCTCCTTGTTCTTCAGGAGACGAGAGATCATGGCTAGTGACAAGTTCCATCTAGTGGGAACGTCCTGAATCAGACTTTCTGTCAGTTGCCCAAGTTGATTTTGCTGCTGGTGGAGCTCCTCTGTATTGGCAGGCCTATGTTTAAAATGTCCCACTATCTTACGACACTTTGCCAATGTGTCACTAAACCCACTGTCTGCAAGGCAAACAGTGATGCAAAACCTCTGCTAACCCCCTGTCTTCTATCACCGAAACTGGTCTGCAGGACATTGCGATCCATTTAGCAAGGGAATTGCTCAGTCGGTCACATACAGATTTGCTAAGTTTACGTTTCAGTGTTTGCTCCAGTGTGGTTTGAAGATGAGGTTGACTGCTAGAGTTGGTATCACGGGACATGCTAGGTCATAGGCCTACCTCCGGATTAACTCCTGGATGCTTTGCATTGATGTGGTACTTTAGAGTTGACGAACTCCAGTGATATGCAAATTCCTTGCTGCAGACATGGAAGAGGACTTCATTTTGATCAACACTTCCATCAGGCCGTTTTATAAGTAAATGTTCCAATCAATGATCCAGGCAGTGCGTTCTCGTCTCCCTCTTTCATTTTACAGTCTAATGGTGGTGACTGGCTAGAACGACTCCAGGTCAAAATTTTTCACACATTTTTTAACGAAATTAACGCGTTATTTTGACAGCCCTACTTAAAATGTAGCAGTTTGTGCCATTGCCAACTCATCCGGTCAATGAATGTAATGTTTATATAATTGTGTCCACAACAAATACCTTAATCTGCTTTTCAGAGTTTGTGCTCATTGTGCAACTTAGTGCTCCTGAGAATCACTACACACAACCCAAATACATATAGATAGATAGATAGATAGATAGATAGATAGATAGATAGATAGATAGATAGATAGATAGATAGATAGATAGATAGATAGATAGATAGATAGATAGACTTTATTAATCTCCAGGGGGAAATTGGGTAAATATATATAAATGTATATATATTTCATTTTCTATCTATGACTATTTGTATTCTCCTTGTTTTTGTTAATTTCATTCTTTAACATTGTTCTTATCGTGATTGTTCTTTGGCAGCACATGTCAACAAAAATATAAATTCAATTAAAATTGCATATAGGTGAAATTGGATGTTTATGACTGAGTTCCTCCTGGACCCCAGAATATTTGTATTAAAAATCACAAATTAAACCAGAAAACAACATGTTGTAAGTCCTTAGAGACAAACTGACAAAGTCATGAAAAATTGGAGTGACAGAATAAAGCACCTATGATACATAACAGAAAGTATACCTAGGGTCTATGGGTACCCCAGCTGGTAGGATTAAGGTTAAAAATGTAACACTTTTGTTCATTATACTGTTGTATTAATCAATCGTTTCAAATAAGTCATGGCATCCCTTTTTGTCTTCAGGTCAAATCTTCAGTAATGTTTTTGCTACATTTCAGAGTAGAAGTCATGTTGATGTGTTCAATACCAGAAACAGACAACTGAAAAACAAAATTCAAGTGTGACATGTTTTGTGGACAGAAATACCTTTGTTTCTAATTAATTTCTGTAATTAATATAAGGATAAGATAACTCATAGTTGCTGCAGCCTACGATTTAAGAGCAGAATTCAAACAGAAAGACTTTGTTACCAATCACTTACACTGAAAATGCATTAAGAAGGTGTCTCTTAATGGTCTGAATGAACAGGAGGAATTATTACAGCCAGCAAAACTAGTTTCAGTATCCATGTAGGCATCTGACTATCGATTTGAGAAAGACTTGAAAAACTGCAAACCTTTCAGCAGTTCTAGATGTAGCCTAAGTGCGTATTATTAGTATTACTATGTATGACTATACAACACATGATTATGATTAATTTGTTCTAATCTCCACCAGTAGATGGCAGAACAGTCTTTTAGGTTTCTATTTCCTATCCTCATGGTGGGTTTCTTCAGAAATAGGTGGACACTCAGTCTGAGAGTACTGAAACAAATTCCAAAACTCACCATTTATTTGGATGTACCTTTCTGCTCCTACAAAGGACACACTGACACACACACATACTCCTGACTCATTGTCAGTGGAAAATTCTATATAATCACTTGTTCATATGCACTATTTTAGTGCTCTTTTTAGTTTTGTAGAGCTATAAAGAGATCAGTGAGTTCAAATGTATTTTTAATAAACACAATTACATAATTATACATTAAGATATGAGAATATTGTCCATATTATCTTGAGGCAATATCATACCTGAATTTCACTTGTTCTCTACTTGGCACTCTAACTGGCTTGACTACAGCAATAAGCCATTCAAATGTGAGCAACTCTTTAAAATGTATCTATAAATACATGCTATAATAATAACCATTATCATTATATAATTGCCGCCCATGTATTTCACAGAAACATAAAAAGTATTTAGTTCTGAGGTCTTGGTGTGCAGCATCCTTCCGAAGAGGGTATTCTTTACAATTCAGCAGTTCATTTGTAGTTATTATTAATGTTCTCCATGAGACCCACACACAGAGAGCAGTGGGTTGCATGTAGGGTGCATAGGAGCCAGTGCGTGACATTAGGTACGTCCCCTGTTCCATCAGTGAAGAGTTTTGGGCAGAATTAAACTAAGAGGCTTCCCTCTCTTCTCGGAAGACTTTCAGCTCTCTCTCTTTACTATTTCACCATTTCTCACTTTCGCAGCCCTCAGTTTCTCACTGATGCATGTGCAAGATTTTATGTGAACAAATCTGCAGATGAGTTATAGATAGAGTTTACACGTTGAACATAGCTGGCGTAGGGCTCCACTTCCTCCACATCCTCTGTCTGAAAGAAACAGAGAGGTGTCACGAAACAAAACATAACAGTGTGCAGTAAAACACAAAGAACTGCAGAGTTTACCTACCGGTGGTGATTTGGATGGTGAGGTGTTGGACTGCTGGCATCGCCTGGAAAAGGTGGATACACAACCCAGCTCAGTGACTCAACAAAGAAGAATGCAAGTAGTCATTTTAGTGATTCATTTTTTATCAAATTAAAATTCTTACCTCAACATTAGTTTCTTTTGTGCAAAATAACATAAAAGTCCTGTCAGAAGCACAATGATTGGCACAATAAGGAGGGCCAGCCAAGGATCATAACCTGCTGTGAGTGAAGATTAAAGGTTTGTTAATAATGTGCTGGACATCAATACTACACATCAAATCTATTTTATTCAATCTATTCTAAATTATAATTATCACTATAATATAAAATACCATTTAGTCATTGTTTACCCAAAAAACATAAAACAGCTTTATATTTAATAATTATAGCTTCTGCACTAAGCCCAGAGATGAAACCCTTTCTGTTGTGCTATCCATTCTTCACCTTTTCTGTGTTTTGGTACAAAAATCTGTTCCTCTCTCCAGTACGGGTGCCTGATAACACAGCTCAGGTTTTCTGGATTCATTCCCTCAAGGAACTCCAGACGACTTTCGACTGTAAAAAATCCTTTTGAGTCAATCACTGGCTCCCCAGCTGTCAAGTTTTCCATATGACTCCAGGTGATGCTGGCTGCAGGTTTTCCTCTTTCAGCTTTGCACACTGCCACCACCATGTTGTCCTTACGCTCTAACCAGGCTGATATAGTGGGAGGAACTGAGCCAGGGAAGAACAGGAGAAATTAGACTCACTGAATACCTCTAACCATGCAGATAAAGTTCTAATTTGCTTGCCTTTTCACAGTTTCACTTGGATAATAACATTGCAGACAGTAAGATGCATTACCCAGAGTAAAAGGAACATTGTGTCTAAAAAGTTCAGAGCAACTGAAAATGAATCCCATTATCCTCCTTCGTGTAATGGAAGAAAACATGATCAGTAGCAGGTATTTCAAAATCTAAGAAAGTAAAACAAACATGCAGTATAAAAGATGGCACTAGAGGTAAGCAGAATGTTCTGTTTTATTAAGTGTGATTTGGTGAATTGACGCCTTAAGAAGTTCAATGGTTTTTGAATTAATTTATCCTTGTGAGGAGAGAATTCATACCTGTGATAGACACGTCGATCTTGTAAGTTTCACCTCCTCCCTTGTAAGCTGTATCACACTTGTAGATCCCCACGTCGGCATCTGAGAAGTTTGGGATGTGCAGGTAGGATTCATCACTGGATGTGCTTTGCAGGGACTTGCCATCATTGCAGGAATCTAAACTTTGGCCATCATTGCTAAAAGATATCTCACAGTCTTTGTATTTCAAGTCTATCTTCCAAATAACATATATTGTCTCATTTACTGTCTTATCACTGCATGTGAGATCAGCATCACTCCCAATCTTGAAAGTTGTATGTCTGTCAACTGAAAAAAAGAAAATAAGTTGCATTATGTTTGCAAATAAAGGTGCAATTATTGTGCTGATGTTTTGATTTTATTCTGGTATGAAACAAGGTACACTTTAGGTCCTAAAAATACAAAAACATGCAAAACCAAAAGAATAAAACAATTAAGTATTCAGTTCTGCATGGAAAAGTGAAAAATTAAATAAAACAAAATAAACTATAAATGGCACGATAAAACACATTATAAACTAAATCATATAGCTGGTCTATGTTTACTAATGACAATAAAATATCTCCATATGGATATGGATTGTAATAAGAGGAATTATTTTGGATTCAACATTTGATTATCAACTGTCTAACATGATAATGATTAAATTCCATCGGAAAAACTGAAACCCTTTAAACTATGATCTTTCAAAATAAAATTTTACAAAGATGCAAAGTTTCCAAAATCCAAACATGTATTTTTAAGATCTTTTGAATAAACAAAAGTTTCGTAATTATGCAAATTATACACACATTTGGTATAGCCTCTTAATATTTTATAATTACATTCCAAAATGTATTTAAAATAACAACAATAAAACATTTCTTCTGTAGAAAAGATATCTCTTAATTCATTTTGACTAAATATGTCTGAAATAAGGATTACTAAGAAAAGGAGGCATAGAAATGTATGTTGCCGTGTTCAGCTTCCTGTGCCTTCACTACTAATATTCTAATATTAATAGTCTTATTAAACATTTTATTCTTTCTTGCAAAATAACCAGGGAGAAAAAGGAGAAGATTTACCGGTATATTTGAAAGGGGTAGTAGTGTTGGAGTTTGCAGAGGTGCTTTGATTAGTTCCTGAGAGAGATTGGCGTGGATGTAAGGACAGAGTTAGTAAAACAGAAGTTAGTGAAGTGTTCAATCAGCAGAGCAACAATGAAGGTGGTTCATCTGTTATTCCTTATTTAGTTTAGTTAGTTAAGGTGTGAAGGCTTGTGATTAAAACTGGTCTAACATGACCAGCTGCAGCAGGGCTAAATCAAAGAACACAGACCGATTCCTGAACTTTTTCCAAACAGAAAAAAAGAATCTAGAGAAAGGAAATCACTAAAGCTTAAACATAAAACTATTATTGTTATAATCTCCCCATTTTGGTCTCACGCTGTAGAAGAAGCTCATTACATCAACATCCATGGTTCATTGGCTGACATTTAGTGTCACAGGGGTCTGAGACTTGTTTACTTCTGACAGGTAGTGTAAGTACATGAAGGGGGGTGGCAAAACCACAAGTCTCAAACAGTTGTGTGTCACTTCCACCTTTCAGAGACCCCACAGTGGAGAAAAGCTGCATCGTAGTGATATGTCATGATTTCCACTGCAGAAACTAGTGGCACCGTGTGGTTTGTTCATTTAGAAAATATGGGCCAACTTTTTCATACATCTATTATGGAACATTTTCTTCCATTGTCAGCTTCTGCATTACCCCACCTCCATGCATGTTCCACTAACTTCACTGTGAGTCACACCGCGACAATCTCAGAGCGGCTAACCACTTACATTTACAATGTCTTACTCATCCTACTACATAAGATTAGAGTAACAAACTATGGCACCGTGATATTTGAATTTTAATGCATGTTGACAGCTATAAATTCAAAAAAGACCAATAAAATACCAACTGTATAGTATAAAGTCTCTATGAACACAACAACTTCCTTAATCTTTGTGGAGGTTTTGTGCACCTTTAAAAAAAAAAAAAAAAAAAAATCTAAAATCTGTATCTTACCAAGACAAAACAATTCAGTACTAAAACCACATGTAAATAAAATGTGTGTAAAATGTTCAAACCTGTAATCTGGCTCCATGCTTCAGACCACAAGAGGATGAAGGCGGCATAAATCCACATTGCGTCCCTCATCTCCAGTTATCTCCGGTTCCTCTGTAAATTAGCTACCACAAGGCCTCTCACACCAGTAAGATCATCAAGTCTAGTCTTTAATTAAAGTCCTGAACACTGCCTACAGTGACATCTGACTGAGCTGAGTGGTTTTGCCTGGGCTATCATGCCATTTACCCTAGTTTAGCAATTTCACTTTCTCTATTTATGTCCAATAAGCTCAGTTTGAGTGAAGCAGGTCCTCCTACCCCATCCAGACACACTGAAAATCTTTGACACCCTCATGATAAAGAAATATAAAATACATGTGACCAACAAATCCCTCCCTTCTTCTTTCTCTTCCCCCTCTCCAAACCGCTTTCCACCCAAACATCTGCCTTTTTCTAACACACAGGATGACGTCTGATAAGCCAAAACACCAGTTTCCTTTCTTGCTAGTCACATGATCACCCTCTTTCAAGACAGTATGAACACTCCCAAACTAGACAACATTACAAAGTAGACACATTAGACACATTCACAGTGTCTGTATTATACGTTTCGTAAAATCCAATATGGCTTTGACTGCCAGACAGGACAATTTAAGGCAGTAGTTTGTGGTGCTGTTGAACTGTCCTGCATTATATTGAGAGGTGTTTCTCATACTCCTCATTCATATAATGATGGTGTGGACAAAATATCAGAAACACCTCTTACTATGACACCATAAAATATAACAGCAGCACAAACTGCATATAATCTCCAAACTTACCATACAATTGAATCAACACCTCTCTAAAACAGTTAAATCAAAACACGAACATCATGACCTTCATGAAAGTAGGATTTATTTCAAGGTTGTTGCATTAGACTGCATTTTTTAAGGTAGGTTTTAGATCATAAACTTTTTACTAGGTGTATACTTACTGTACCGAATCAAATCTTTTACGCTGAGTAAGTGTAATTTCACACATATTGTGATCTCATGCTGGTGTAAGCACATGTTGGCGTTTCCAGGTTGCACAATGCACAGTTGCTTACATGCACTGGGTATGAAGTGTTAATGTGCAGGCGTTATTACTGACTCGAGCCCCGGTTTGCAGATTTGAGTTTAACTGTCAACGCTGCATGTGGTAGTTATCTCATGTATGTGGTTGTGATCTGCAAGCTGTATGCGGAGTTTGTGGTTCATGAATACATCTTGCAATGACACATCTTGATATTAACTGTCCCATATAGGAGACAAACAGGGCTGATGAACAAGAAAAACTCAGCTTTTCCTTTTTCTTGAGTGAAGAAGTGTAGTCTTCCCTTATGCCACAGAAACCAGTTAAACACTAATATACAACTAGAACTGGAACAGCTTGACATATCTTAATAAAATCTACAGCTGGTGTTTTAGGATTTCAAAAACAGCACTGACACTAATGTGAGGAAGGAATATTTGCAGTATTCTGTCTAATATTAGACAGTGTTTATTTACAGTGGCATAACGTTCAGCTGACTGTGAGCTGGCACACTTGGCGCAAAGGAACTAACCTTTCCAAATTGCAAAACATTCCAGCTGTGAAGTAATGTTGTTGAGCTGTGTTCCTCAAATCCAAAATAAGTTTTAAAAAAAAGAAAGAAAAAAAAGGTGAAAAAGAAACAAAAAGAAAATGCTGATTAGGGTCTTTAAGGAGAAAAATAGTCTCTGTAACACATTTTGTGTGTGTGTGTGTGTGTGTGTGTGTGTATGTGTGTGTGTGTGTGTGTTTCCCTTTGATAACACCAACTTCCTGTTGATGTCAAAATCAGCCATTTGGCTACCCAAAAATATGCTCAGAAGGGTAAAGAAAAAAGTGAACTGTATGAAGTGAAACAATCAATATGTCTTCTTCAAATGAATAGTAGGCAATGGCTCTTGATCTGCATTTGTACGCAGTGGAGCATCACATTGGTTACTTCAGTAAAAGTATGATTTTGTTTCAGATAAAAAGTAAAGAAACAAACTATTCTGCCTCCAGGTTTTACCAAAAAAACATACATTTCAGAATTTGTAGCCTATGTAGTTGATATAATATATATTATTTAATATTGGGTGCCGAAATAAAATGTGGAGTATCTCCCAAGTGATGAATAAATGTCACCTCTGTTTTCTTGTATTGCTTTGGGATTATAGTCTCACATTAATAACCTAATAATATAAAGATGGGTGATAAATTAAAGGAAAAACAAACAAAGTTTTATAGTACGGTGTATCTCTAGCACAGCCTCAATGTGCCTTGAAATGGATTCTACCAATCTTTGGAACTGGAGGGATGTGGTGTTTTGATGATGGTGGAAAGCGCTGTCTAACACATCGGTGCAAAATCTTGCATAGGTGTTCAATTGCGTTGATATCTGCATATGCAGCACATGATTCACATCATTGTCGTAGACCCCTCGTGCCCTATCAATGGGGCCACTGTTGTTGTTCGTGTTAAGTTTCATTTGTGATGCAAAAATGATTACGCCCACACTAAGGAAAGATGAATCATATCGCAATACAATGTTTTTATCATATTATGCTGCACTAGCTCTCAGAATCATTGTACTCTCAGATGTGTTAATGCAGTGCAACCCCACTATAATATCCCCCTAACAAAATCGGAATTTTGGGTGACAAGAACTGTCAAAGTGGTACTATGTCTAAAAGTTTCTGCATCAAATTTTGCACATCAGACAATAAAAAAACCCAGGTTATGACTTTCTTTACTTCCCCAAAGAGCAAAAGATTGTAAAAGAAGAGTGGCTTTAGGCCATCTGCAGAGAGGATAAAAGAGTAAACTGAGGGGGCAAACACTTCATCAGAGGTCAGTTAATGATGTTAGTGAGTAAATGACATGTGTGCTGACTGAGATAAAACCCCATCTCTTTTAGGAAAAGGTTGATCAATGAAACGTAACGGCTGTTACGCACTGCCACACTGACGTTAGCTTACAGTAACGTCACATTGAACAGACAACCAAAACAGAAAAATAAAGTGTCTTAACGACAGAAACAGTGACTAATGTCAGAAATATGATTCAATAATGTACTTGTATATGTCAGGTTCGTCCACTTTGATGGAGGCACACTAAAAGGACATCAACCCCTGTGTCTTTATTTTTCTATATTACCTTGGTGGCCATGAGATTGTGGCTCCTAATAACTAAAAAGCAAATACGAGATTCTTATTTTATGGCATTTAATTGCCAAAGACCTTAGAATTTGCATTTACATTTATCAGAAGGGAGCGGGGGCTTGAGTACCCGGATGGGCTGCTATCATGTGTTTTATACATGCCACATGTTCATTTCTTAGTTGTACCCTGCAGTGCACCTGTGTGGAAGCATCTACATTCGTTATGTTCCTCCAGTCATTTATTGAGAGTTGTCCTTTAATTTGTCAGCTGCCTGTATAACATCTCTAAAAAATAAAGTAAGGCGGGCAGAGAAAGGGGGAGGGGCCATTCATGGGCAGAAGGAGCTCTGGGGGTTGTATTTTCACCACTTCTATCCTGAACACTCAAACACGGGCTCGTAAATACTATAACGCTGTAATATGTATATGTTAGGATCACTGGTTTTTAATAATCTCCTCTTTGTTTGTTTGTTTTTTTAAATAAACTTACTACCCATGCGCCTCAGCCACGGTTGCTATGGAGTCAGGGTATGAGTCAGTGGCACAAATCAGAGCTGTAGCAGAAAACACCTCGTCGTTGTTATTTTTACATTTACACAGAAGCCGGATTTGGACTGGTTATATATAACGTTACTGACAATGCTTCAAAGCAGCAGATGAAATGTGTTGTCAAGTTTCTATTTATTGTATTTTAGCTTCTGCCTTCCGTTGACTGAACTGTAAGCTCAGCGATTGGATGGATATCTTAACGATATCGATTTGGGAGTTGGTATGACTTCCCCCGCTTGCGTTGTTCAGTATATAGGCCTGCGCCTTTGACTGGGGTTTTATTAAAAATAAAAACAAACTCATATTTTACCGCAGTTGCACATCGTCGGTAGACGTCCGTGCTCGGTGCTCCAACTGTTGTTTTTAATCAGGAAGTGAACACCCGGAATAACTCCTCCCACTTCAACTCAATTTACCGTCTCCATGGTTACATTGTTAAATACCGCAGAGGTCGCTGATACCGCAGTCTGTGAGAGAAAGTCGTCGGACAAAAAACATTTTAAATACTAATACCAGTTAACTAAAATGAGCGTATCAGTCACTCACACCATTTCTAAGAAAAACGATGGTAATAAAGTTGTTCGGCGGCAACGGGTTTATGATTACTTGTATGGTAAGTAAACTTAAAGCTAGCGTTAGCATTTGGAAACTTGCTTGGTTGACATCATCTCAACTGTTTGTGTTTCTGCCACAGATCCGGTTTACACGGTGTCATCGGAGGTGGACCATGTCAGGTCCAGCCTCAACGCCTATGCGTCCAGGGACCGAGTAGTAAGTTGTGTCCGTATGTGCCTATAGCAAAATATTGGTTGTGTTGCTAACAGTAAAGACAAAGTGGTTGTATCATCAAATAAGGTTAAACAGTTAGCCTTAGTGCTCTTTTACCATGTTTAACCAACGTTAAGTAAAAGCACTAAGTCAAAGATTGTAAGGCAAACCCCTCTATAAACTTTACCCCCTATTTTATTTTCTGAATAGTTTTGAACCATTTACACAAAGTTTGTACTGCATAACATTAAGTTAAATTCATATATATAATAATACATATATCACACATTGCAAGTCATAATTTACCCGCTGTCTGTTTACCTCTCACCCACTAGGCACACGTTGTTCCCTGAAGTGCCCTATGACCAAATTATGACCCATGGTCAATGTTGTTGCTGTTTACACATGAGAACAAAGAAACAGGATGAATGTGAAATGCACTCGCTGACAGTATTTCCTCTCTGCCTTTATCAGAGGAGAGTGCCTGAGTTTGGGTCTATGTTCAGTAACCTGTCCCACCACCCACGGTATACTTTTCAACTGGACCCTGTAGACCCAGTACCGGCCTCTGTTGATCGTCACTGGCGAGGCCACGCGGAACATCGCAAAGAGTCACTGCAGCAGCTGGCTGGGTAACACTGACAGACACCATTTTAATGAGCAGCAGCAGTTACTGAGTTGTATTAATTCAAGGTTATCTCTGTTACCTATTACAAATATAAACTCTGTCCCTTGGCATAGTTATCAGTTTGTGGCTATGATTCTTGATTATCTTCCTGACAGGATTATTCCAGATGCTCAGTCATGGCTGAAAAGAGAGGAGTGCCATGTGACCGGTGCTGATCGCTGGAAATACTTTAAACGGTTTGAGTAGCCAGCATACACTCTGAAGCTTTGAATATGGTGGAATACAATCATACTAACTTCCTTGTGCAGCAGTTGCCTCTGTCTCATGACAGTTTACAAAACTGCCATTCTGCCCCAGTCTCTATGTTAAATATTGATATAGTCTCTGATATGCTGTTTCATTCTGTTTCCTTTAGGCCTCAGATTCCCTTTGCACAGCAGGTTCCCCCGGATGTGATTTTTGCTTTGCCGAGGTAGGTTTCTACAAATTCCTCATGTTTCTTTATCTGACAGCCATTTCTGTCAGGTAGAGGGTACATCCTCTCTTTGTGTCTCCTCAGAGAAGATTTTGTATCCTCTGGTGGAAACAATGCTGACCCACAGCCGACCCACTTCACCGTGGGGGTTCAGACCGACTACAGGGAAAGTGAAACACAGACAGACCCGTACAGCCCTGAGTATGTGGTACAACATGGGACAACTCCCACTGAGCTCCTGCAACTGGCAGCTTTGACTTGGGGTACATGATCAACTGTTTAGATTTTCACCAGTTATAAACTATAATGTGTAATTCATTTGTTAAAACCATACATCTCCAGGCTTCCTACTGGTGCTCTCAGCTGAATAGTATACCTGTGCCTTTAGTGTCTTATAATTAATCTTACCAATGCCTCTCCTCACCTCTGCAAACTACACTTAACCCTTCTCTCATGGCCATTCCCCTCAGGTCGTGGTCTGCCTGCAGGCCTAGCAGAAGTGGAAATGATACAGCGGGCACGTGCTAAACGAGCATGGGAGGCCACCCTTCCTCCATTGCATGACCTCAGTCAGCTGGACAAAAGGAGACGTATGATGGAGGAGATGGAGGTCAAAGAGTGGGCTTTCAGAGAGGGAGAAATCCAGAAGTGAGTGGTGCTGCACCTCAACTGCTATTATTTAACCTAATTATTAAACACTGCTTACCTAAAATATTGTGTCGGGAATGCCGAAGTCATCAATATATACATATTGGCTTTAAAGCAGCTATAATCAATATTGTTTAAATGTACAGTGGATCAAAGTACTACAAGTGAAATGTAAAAATGATCACCAAATCACTGCTCACTGTTTTGTTTTTTTTGCTGCAATGTCACTGTTTTGGTTCACTCATCGATACCATCAGTGATCTTAGCTTGTTTCAGCTGCCCCCAAGTGGACCAACAATTAAACAATGTTTAAGCAAAATGTGTAAACACAGGGGTTTGAACCATTGTAACAGCAGTTTCTCTAATCAAAATACCACAACCATATACTACTTGTGGCTAATATCACATCTAACCAATGACAATATGTAGGACATATCCACTTCTTGGCCTATGAAGCAGTCTTGTTGAAGTTCCTTCTTGATGTTCCTGCTGTCTTTGCCATGCAAAACCTCCCCTCCTGCAATGTTCTCTGTTTCTGTGGGTGTTGGCCAGGTTACAAGAGGCTCGTCTTGCTGTGCTGAAGGACCTCTTGAGGAAGAGAGATGGGGCCCAGAAAGAAGTTACAAGCGAGAGACTGAACCAGATATATTCAAAACACCAAAAAGACAAGGACACCAAGCTACACAAGATTCACAATGACTACATGAGGTGTAAGACAACCACTGCCTCTGCTCTAACATCATAAATCATGAATGGCTTTGTTTCACTCCTTCTCATCTGTCTCTTCTTTTAACATTGTTGTTTTGTGTGTAGCACTGAGAAAACTGGAAGCTAAGAGGAGAAATATGGAGGGGAAGCTGGAGCGACCTGGCATTGTCAGAGACTATCTAGAGTCTACGAGTGCCCCTGGGGCCCGCAGGGACATGTTCAGCAAAAGCCAATACTTAGACACATATGAAGGTCTGAATCTAAATGCTTTTGGGGCAAATAGAATTTAGCAGGTCATTTTCAAAATAGCACCTCAGAGGCAAGAGTGTCCCTTTACTGTTGAGGTAAATGGATTTTTTGTCAATCATAGGCTTACTAAAGCTGGAGGCAGGACTCTCAGCCACAGTCCTCAAGCCACAAGTGGAAAGACCCAAAGTCAACACCATCAAGGATGTGCTCAAGCCCCGTGTAAACAAAGCGGTAGAACTGATGGAGAAATACAAGGTAAAGCAGAAAGAAATATGCCAATTCAGAATATCACTTATTACAGTTACACATACATGTGGATTACATATTGTGGCTCCACAGTCAATGAAGGAGAAGAGCGAGCAAGCCAGAGAGAAGTCCTTGCGTTTTCTTGTCAAGAAGGAGAAGACTGTTCCTCGTCCTGTCACTCCCAGAGTGGAGGAGCCACCAGAGGTCAGCTAACGTCTCTGACTCTAACTGACACTGACCTTCTTCATCCTACACGTAGTAAGAGGCTATTTGTTAATTTATGTATATGCACCTCCACAGGGGGATGAGGAGATAGAGCTCGCAGTCATCCACTTGCAGAAACTACTGAGAGGAAGAAGTATCCAATGCGAGGTCTGAATATGTCTGCATGCACGTGTGTGTTTACCTGCATGTCGCTTTTCATGCCCGAAGTGCTAATAGAAATGTTTGCATGTGTTTCAAGTTGTTATTGTAATTCATTTCTATGTGTGTTGTTGTGCAGATGTTTATGGGCAAGGAGAACCATCTAGAGCTCATCCAGGAACTCAGGACTGTCCACGCCCTGCAGAAGGAGGAGCAGGAGCTACAAAACGCTGACAAAGGACTTGTTATGACCCTGAAAAAACAGAGAGACGAACATAGACACAAGGTGAAACACGCAGAAACGTTCACATACAAAATTTTACAACCTCCAGACAATCCCATTACACCCTCTCTCTTTCTGTGCAGACCTCTCAAGAGGAGGCGTCTCAGGCCAGAGTGGTAGGTGCAGAGCTCGAACACCTGTTCGACACTTTGTCCAAGGAGCTGGTTCATCTGCAAGAAGAGCGCAGGATCCATGCCTTCACACTACTGGCTGAGAGAGACCGCCGCTTACGAGAGGCTGAGGAGAGTGGAAGGAGACAAGTGGAGGAGCACCGACGCAGAGAAGAAGATGAGATCTTCAGACAAGTGCGTACATATGAGGTTGCAACAGAGATAGTTCTAAGAAAATAATGTTTGTTAGGTGCACATGTTTTAATGCTCAGCACGTGTGTGTGTCCTTAACACGGTGTCACAGGTGGTGCAGGTACAACAGGAAACTGTGGATTTGTATTTGGAGGACATCATCCTAGGGACCTTGGAGCAGACATCCAACCAGCAGGCCAGAGAGGAGATCCGCAGGAGGGCTAAGGAGGTCAATGACATTGCTTACGCCATGGAGGAAAGGTAACCGATACATCAGCATGACTGCTGATGCTTCATATTCAGAAATTCAAACCAGAGAATAATAAACAAAAACCTTTGCATGTGTGTGTAGCCGGGAGAGTCTTCAGTCGGAGGAGATTGTGTCAGAGTTGGTGTACAGTTTCCTTATCCCAGAGGTCGAGAAGATCAGTGTCAGACAAAGAGGTTTGGGAGATTTTTCTGTTTCCACTGTATTCACACATTATTATCACTGAATACAATATCAAAATTATTACAAAGTATGAGTAGACAGTATTTTAGGTAACAATTAAAAACATGTCTTGAAAGTAAGAGATGCCCTCTATAAAAAAAGAATAATTAAATGATACAGTTGAAGGCAGATGCTTTGCACACCAGTCTAACCTCATGATTTCTCTCTCCCAGTGCACCAGAGGCAGCATAGACACTTGCAGGCAGCTCATAATATAATTCAGGGGACTGCAGAGCATTCCGGGGCCCCTCGTAGTACTCTGGGAGCCTCACAATCTACCTGTCCTTCTGAAAGAGCCTCTAATCGACTCCTAGAGGAGATGAGCCTAGTGGAGCAGCACCACACTAAAACTGAGTAAAGGATTGTCGATATAAAAAGTGTACTGAGATGCAGTCTGATGTCTATATTTGTTGTCCACTCCTGAGATTAAAGTAGAAGTTTCCCATCATTGTGGGTGTATGGATTAATTAAAGCCTTTTGATCATTACTGCTGACATGTTTTATCCAGAATGTGCAGTATATTCCCACCTTTTCTGGACGGGACCCAGGTACAAACTCTATTTCTATCTAGGGGACTGAGATGCTATGGAGGATTCAATTCTAAGGTTACTCATTTTGACTACCTCTCTTATTTTAAAAAGTGCTCCTGCAATTTACATATTTTAATGTTAAACCCAGTATCGCCTTTCTACGGAGCCCCTAAAGTCCCCAAAAGGAAATATTTTTAACTAGTGCGCAATTCAGATTTCAGCAAGAGCAACAAGAATTTCATGGTATGACATCCCGAGTTGAAAACAAAACTTGACAAGCTGAGTTCTCTCCATTATATGACAGCTGTGTGCATCTGAAGCCGTTAGAGATGCATATGAATTTATAGTAAATTATCTTGTGTGCACAAGATAAAAAATATTTCCTTTTAGGGACTATAGGGGGTCTGTACCTTTCAGAATGTAATGATAATTAACAGGTCACTAAAAAAGAATTTGTATTTTGAGCAAAGTTCTTTACAGAGTTCAAATATGAGGAAATGTTCAATGTGTCACAGGTATTGTTTGACTTTAGAAGTGATACCTTTAATTTTCTCTAAAACAGTCTTTTATGAGAGTTAGGCTATAAATGGATATTATAAGTATTACAACACATTTTTACTTTGGGGGTGACTTTCCCTGTAATTTTATCCAAAATCATCAGTAAAATTACTTCAAATGTAACATAGTCGTAGCTGATGTCTTTCTGAACAGGAATTCATTGAAAGTTTTAGCAAACCTCTTCAGGAAAATATTTTCCATAATTCCTTTTTAAAATGTTGTATGCTGATAGTCACTATAAACAGGACTCCACTGGAAAGCATTAAGGACAGGGGTTTATGAGATCAAATAGGCCTATAAAGACAAACTCTAGGTTACAATGCATTTTGACCTTGGTTGTGACTTCAATTTTCTCCAGAGCTGTCCAAGAGAATGACTTCAGATGATTTGAATTGTATGTCAATGTGACTGTCAGCGCCATTCTGAACGGAAATCTACTATGTTATTAAGGAAACGGTGTTTACAATGCGTATTTACAGTGGAGGGGAACTTTTTTGTGTAGGGGGTTTTATATGGTAATGTATCACATTTTCAAGAGGACATTTAGTCATGATGATATATAAATATAATGTTTAATTGGGTGAAATGTGAGAACTCATTGCAGTTGACCATTGACCATGAACAGCGAATAAGTCATAGTCCTCCTATGTCATTTTCTTTCTTTTTTTGTTACAGTACAGTAATTGCTTGAATAGACGCCCAGCAAAATCCAAAACGGCGGCTGGCAATTTTTTGTGTATTTATTAACAAACGACGGTTCATTTGACCGCAGTTGAGTGTGCAAGCTGCTCAGGATCAGCTGCGTGGTGCATCAGTCAACAGTGGTCAGTGGCAAACTTCCCTCAGTACTCACAGTGAGTCTGAACACGCTGCAATGGGCGCAGCACTTATATGTCTCTCTTTTATTCTTTACTTTTTATTTTTCACTTAATGTCCGGCGGTTGAGAGGTGCGTAACAGGGTGGCACGGGATGCGCCACTGGCATGGGCGGGCGTTGCACCCGAATGCCCCCCCCCTTTGGCGATGGGCCCCGTCGCGCAGGCTGCAGCCAGGAATACTTGTAGCAACGAGCCCGGCATCAAACAACACGTCAAGCAGGAAGAGTTAGTGCGATACTCGTTCTCACCTGTTGAGTGTTCAGTAAATCCAAAACCCACCGAGATTAACAGCTGAGGGGCGAAACTACAGACAGCTGTTTGGACATCTGGAATCACCAAGTCAGTGAGTTGAATGATCCCGATCGGTGTTTGATTAACGCTTGACCTTTAACCGGGTACAGGAGAGGCAGTGGGGGAAGGTCTTTTCAGATTATTTGAAGGTTTACGGGGTGTCTCTTACATGAGTTAAACGTATCATGTCAGTTTTATGTGTCACAAAGTTTCTGCTGCCTGCCAAGACGAAGGTCGCTCAAACAAACAATGCTTTTACATGCTACTCATTGTGTGTGTACAGATGTTTTCTCCAGTCACTGTCACACGGCTGTGTAAATGAAAGTAATGGGTTACTGGTGGCGATTGGGCACCGTTAAAAGACACATAATACACCACATACAATGCAGGAAATACACATTTTGACTGTGGTTTCAAAATAATGGCATACATGCCATGCAGTATTGAGGGTTAATGATAAAATGACTTGTTTTTGAGAGTAAAAAGATACATTTTCTTAAGTTCTGTCTCAGTTCAGTTGCATTAAACAAGCTTTATTGGCTTGAAGATTTGAAACAATCCTACAATTATACTAAGGGATTAATCAAAACCTCTATTAACCCATTTGTCCTATTTCTATTGAGTATCAGATAAAAGCCTATCACTGCAAATGACAATAGTGTGACAGCATCAGGCAAATAATTAAGTGGTTTTGGAAGTGATGAGTGTCCCTGTTGGTGCGGTATCGTGTCAAAAGCTGTGCATTATTCCTTGTATTGCAGTGCCAGTTGTGGTGAAACACTGAGGTTTTTGCAGGTACTGGTGAGCCTCGCCTCACCTCACAGTGTTGTTTGTGCTTGTGGTTGTCAACACTAAAGCCTCACTGCCCACTTACTAAAACAACACTGCACTCGAAATTAATCGTTATGAAGTGACGTTTATCTCATCATCCCTCAGGTGAGAATGAGTAACAAGGCCACTGGGGCGCAGACCATCCGAGAAGCGCTTACGCGGCAAAATGAAGAGGACGAGGACGAGGAAGGAAAGGAAGATGAGGAATCAAGAGCCTGTGGTGTGTGTGGAGATCTGGCCAAGGGTTACCACTTTAATGCCTTGACATGCGAAGGCTGCAAGGGCTTCTTCAGGTGAGGTTGTTTCTTCTTCTTCTTCTTCTTCTTCTTCTTCTTGTGTTTTCTTCTCTTACACACATGGTGCAGCGTCTCCCTCTTCCCCTGTCATTGGTGCTCCATTCTGTGTTTCTACTTCCTGTGTGACATTATTTATAACAAGCACCGTGAACATGTGTGATGTAGGAGAAAGGTGACAAAATGTTTCTCTTTTTTCATAAATATATAGCCGAGTGCGAGACACCCACTGGTACTGCCAAGTACAACAACCATCATTTGCTTTTGAATTTATACTGTCCTGTAAGGCTCATTCCATTTCTCACTCGGATGAATGAAATACACACACAGTAGTTCTAGTAAAGAATAATGCTGTTAATCACAAGGCACACAACAATCAAAAGTTTAAAAAGTATATGTGGAATTGGTGATAAATACATTACAGTAATAAATACTTGTTAATATAGACAAACAAAATACACCAACTAATGAAGCCATACAAAAACTGACCTATAAGGAACTTACGGACAACAGAGGGGATACGATCTGTCTGTGTTTGACTCCAATAAATGTTCAGGTATTAGCAACACAGTTCAGGCTGTTTCTGACCCTCACTGACAGACTGTGGAACCAGCAAGTAAAAGATCTCAATAGAAGATCAATTAGAGCGAACGAGAATAATTTAACTGACAGAGAACGTTTTTGGAGAAGGTGAACTCTTTGCTGACCTTGCTTTCTGTGATTGTATCTCAATCATTAGTGAATACAGCATTGCCCCCAAATTGGGATTTTGCTCACCAATCAATGCTTAGAGGTCAGCGTGTAAGACTGGCATCTAGCTGATCGTAGTTGCAGATCGCAACTCACTTGATTTACGCACTGTTTTCAAACGTGAGGGAGAAACTACAGTGGCTGCGAAACTCGTAAAAAAAACGCAAATGGTCCTGTATAGAGACTGTGTTAGGTTTGTCCCTTCTGGCCTACACTAGAAACATGGCAGAGAGAGAGAGAGAGAGAGAGAGAGAGCAAAAATGAAATACAGTATATATATATATCTATCTATATATATATATATACTGTATATATTTGCTGCATGCAGCTTCTCAAATGTGAGAAAATGACATCATATATTACAGATATATGTACTTACTTACAGAAACAAGCAATTTGTAGAAATAATTGTTAGTTGCAGCTCTAGACAATGTCTCAAAACAACCAATTCATTGAACAAACAATTTATAACTCCTATCCTACCTCACATCTGATATGTGCCTTTAAAACACACATGACATGTTTCTGCGTGCACTCTGTCCTCTGTCTCTTCCTGTGTGACCACCTCTTCATCTGCCTCAGCGGACAGTTTCCTTCTCTGATGTGTTTGTTTTCAGTTATTCAGATGGATTTTTTGTTAGAAACAAATGACCCAGTTTTGAGAATTGGGTAAAACAAACGCCAAAGCTGCAAATGCATGCTCCAAATGATGCTGAAAGCTTTTTATACCATCAACATAATCACATAATGGAGTCTGAAAATGCTGTAACAAAAAAAAAACTCTTCACTCAAGGCAGCAAAAATAGAAAGAAAACATATTTTCCTGCAGTAATTAGCGGTAAACAAATTCAATCAAAGTGGCAAATTAACTTAGAATGTTTTCTACTCCATATGTTGCTTTCCAGGTCATATGTTTTTATTCACATTATACCTACTGTGATATTCTCCCTGGTCAGACATGAATGAACTTTCTCAATATGCTGAATATGCTAAAAGAATTCTGTCCTTTCATTGAGGAATGGCTAGTACTGTGTTTTGGAAGAAAAACCATTGATATTACACTTTATATGAGACACATTGCCTTAACTCCAGCTGCATTTCCTACTTCCCCTGCTTCATTTTTGCATGTTTATACTGATTATGGAGTCAAAACCTTGTGATCTTTGTAGAGTGTGCATCAACACCGTACAGCGCACTAAAATATTTATTTGTATCCCAATTTGTAGCTGATCTTTGTGTGAAACGTAAAGAAATATATGTGAATGTATCTTAGTTTTTAGACCTCTGCGTCACTGCTTTTCCAGTTTTAGATCCCAA